TGCGTGAGCTTGGAATTGGTCTGATGTAATTCGCGACGTACGGCCTCCAGCTCGATCTCGAGCTCAGCCTTGGCACCTTTGCCCGACTCGCCCAGCTTCTCACAGTGCGATATGGCCACCTCGAGCTGCTTGATGTTGTCGCGCAGCTCCTGCTCCTTGGAATCCTTGGGCGGTTCCTTAGCAGGGTGGCTGGCCACAGGGACAGGGACAGGCTACCCCTCCTGCCAACTCGTCAAACCTGCGCTGGAGCTCGTCCAGCCTCTTCTGTAGTTTGTCGTCACGACCACTCCCACCGCCACGAGGTAGACCAGCCCGCTGACGATGCTGCTGGCCGCGCGCATGCAGCTCGGCTGCACGGCGCACCTCGAGCGGCGCCTTCTTTCCGCATCTGCAAATGATCCTGGACGCCCAGTTGGTGTTGCGACCACATGAGCACGCCCAGGTAGGCGTCCTTGGCCCAGGGAGGACCTCAGCGCCATCTCCATCGGTCATGAGAGCCCGTAGGCTTGGATGAATGTGTGGGTTGGGACCCCACGAACTGAAGGCTGGAACGGGGCTCGCAGCAGCGACTGCCGCTCTGAAGACTGCTGCTGCAAGCTCAGGAGACAGCACCTGAGCCAGAACGGCTATCACCCGAGTCTGGCCCGAGCCTCAGCATATTCAGCAGTCGTCTTTGGATGGGCAGCTACTGGGGGCCAATCCGCCGCCGCCGCCGCCGCCGCCAGCCGCCGCCGCCGCCGCCGCCGCCTCCGCCGCCGCCCCCCGCTGCCGAACCGCCGCCGCAGCCGCAGCCGCAGCTGCCGCCGCCGCCGCCGCGCCCGCCGCCCCGCGCCGCCCCCGCCCCCCGCCCCCCGCCGCCGCCGCCGCCGCCGCCGCCGCCGCCGCCGCCGCGCGCGCCGCCGCCGCCAAGTGTACTTGTATTTTTTTTGACAGGGATGGCGTGGGGGCCGCATCGTTGGTTGCGCATTTCGAGGAGGCAAATTTGGTTTGGTTTTTTTTGCAACTTGGTGCGGGCTGGTTGGTGGCCCCCAGTCGCCTGGGGGAGGGGGTGTTTATTAATAGGGAACAGTGATCAAGACCCCCTCCCCGCCCGCAAGCCGTCTCGCTCACTCCCACCCGCCCTCCCAACACATACGTAGCACCCGAGTCTGGCCCGAGCCTCAGCATATTCAGCAGTCGTCTTTGGATGGGCAGCTACTGGGGGCCAATCCGCCGCCGCCGCCGCCGCCGCAGCCGCCGCAGCCGCCGCCGCCAGCCGCCGCCGCCGCCGCCGCCGCCGCCGCCGCCGCCGCCGCATCGGGTTAGCTGCTGCATGTTCCGAATTTGGAGGCAGAGTGTGTTTTGTATTGTTGTTTGCCAAGGATGGTGGGGGGGTGTCGTCATGGACCCGGTTTGGCCCCCAGTCGCCTGGGGGAGGGGGTGTTTATTAATAGGGAACAGTGAGAAACCCCTCCCCGAAGGGGAAAAAGGAGGGGTGGAAGAGGAAACGCTGTAAACCACCGGCGCCCAGAGGGCTGGTGGGATTTGCAACTGGCGCAGGGAGCAGCACACCTTTGCCCTTCAGCCAAGGGGGCCAGCGGATCCTCGTCCTGGCTACGTCTTATGGGGAACGGGGGGTGACGAAACGACAAGCTTGGATTTCGATCCAGAAATCAGGCCCTCGCTGCGGCGACAGCGCCATTCTGAACGACGGTGGGGAAGCGCCGATCCTGAGGTGAGACCAGCGCTGCAGCGGGAATACCATGTCGAACACTACAACCACTTGTCATAGCACCTTTTGCATTTATGCGCGTTATAAAACAGCGTGTGGGAGAAAAGCTGCTCCGTTCGGGCTGGATCCAGGGAGAGATGAGCGTAGTATACTCATTGTGTCGTTGCAGAGAGGAGAGAGGAGATGAGATGAGGGGGGAGGGAGGGGACGGAGGAGGAGAAAGCATGAAGAGGAGATTGAGCAGAGGGAGAACAGAGGAGGAAGTCGAGCAAGACGAGCCGGGGGGGAGCGGGAGGAAGCGGCGGTACAGGAGAGGGAGCAGGTTTCAGAGCGTTCGGGAACGCCCTGCTTTCTGGAACGCTCTGAGAAGGCCGCGGCGCCCGAGGCATCCTCGAGAGCCGCCGGATCTCAGTGATTTTCTATTTCATTGCTCGGACACGTGCATGTTATCTTCGGTGAGGACCATCGAGGAATATCCTGAATCATCATGCGAAGGGGAAAACGAACGTAAGAAATCGAGACATGCACGAGGAATGGACGTCCCAACGCTGGCGATCACCCGATGTCTGATCCTCGCCCTGGTTTCGTCTTAGCGGGAGGTGGCGGGCGGGCGCGGCGGGCCCCCTTTTCCCTAGGTTCGGGTGCAATTCCTGCAGGTCAGATTCTGACATTGCCCTGCAGGGCAAAGTCAGAATCTGGGATTGCTCTGATCATCGCAACGCTCAGGGTGTGGAGAAGGCAACTTTCAGCGTGGATTGCTCCGTTTCATCCGTGATCATCGTGGATTGCGGCGCTCAGAGTGCTGACGTGGCAACTTGCATGTTGTTGTTGGTGTGTCATGTGCGAAAGATGGTCGATCCTTTTGCCAGTACATCCTCTGGGGCGGCACCCGATCCTCCTGGTGGTCCGAAATCTGGCTCAGTCCCGCTTCGTCACGCTCAATCCCGCTGAATCTGTCCTCAATCCCGCGGAATCCGCGGCCGAATCCGGCGGGGGCTGCGCCCCCCAAAGGTGCTCGGGGCTCATCTGACGGGGCTGGGACGAGGATAAATACGTTCCAGAGCGTTCCGGAACGTTCTCAAAGCGTTCCGAGGCGCTTTGAGAAGGCCGCGGCGCCCGATACATCCTCCAGATCTGCCAGACCTCAGAGATTCTCGAGTTATCCTTGGCCGATTTTATCCTCGTCATGGCTCCGTCTTAGGCTTAATCCTCCTGAAGCCTTCGACCCTCCAGTAGTTGCCCCCTACAGTCAACCCGCATGGTAAGGATGGGCAACCTTCCTACGGGTACCCTTGCATCCTTGCCTCCTCGGCACATCCTCGGCCACGTTCGTTGGCCGCGCACCGCTCGCAGAGCTTCGAAGTGGGCGTCCAAGGCCCTGGCATCCTTATCGCGCGCATCCTTATGATACGGGCCGACTGCCGATTGTAATCCGCCTGAATCCTTCCGACGAAGACCTCCCGCCGGTTGCTTCCTAGCCTTGAGTCGGGCATGCCCCCTTACAAGGGGGAGTACTCCAAGCCAGTCAGAAATAATATGGGGACGATGTTTCGACTATTTTGCTGGACCGTCTTTGGGTATTTTGTTGACTATTTCTCATGTCTCCCAAACCCTAGCCTGGGCCCGCCACCTCCCCGTAGCCCAGAATCGAATCCATAACTCGTATCGGCAATCGAAATGAGTCGGATCGGCGGAAATCGCAGCCAAGTCGGGAGAAGCTGAATCGGTAGGAGAGAGCATGATCCACCGCCGCTTTACTGTGGAAAATTGCCCCAACCTTTTCCTCCGGAGCCCGGGGGTCTCCCCCCCCCCTCCGAAAATCCCCCCCCCCCCCCTGCTGGAACCCCCCCCCCCCTTCCCCCCGGCGGCAAAACCCCCCCTCCCCTAACCCCCCCCCCTCCCCCTCCCCCTTCGAAAACCGGGGGGGGTCACTACCGGTTCGAACCCCTCCCCCCCCCCCCCCCCCTCCGGATCCGGAAAACCGGGGGGGTCAGTTGGACCCCCCCCCCCCTACTCACCGCCAGCAAACGACTCCCGGTCCCCACCACCGTCCGCATCACATCCCCCACTGGTGTTCCCAGCACCACTGTCCTCACCACCGCTGTCCCCACTGGTTCCACCACCGCCCCTACTGTCCCCACCAGTGGCCCCACCACTGTCGCACTGTCCCCGCTGTCCCCAGAACTGTTCCCACCACGGTTCCACTCTCCCCACTGTCTCCACGGCCCCAACCACTGCCCGACTATCCCCACTGTCCCCACTATCCCACTGACTCCTCCGCTGTCCCACTGAGCTGTCCCACTGTTCCCACCACTGTCCCCACTGTCCCCACCACTGTCCCCACTGTACCTCTGTCCCATTGTCCCACCGCCGTCCTCGCCACCGCCTTCACCACTGTCCCCACCACCATTGTACCCTCCACTGTCCCACTGTTTCCACCTCATTCCCATTGTCCCCACACCACTGTCCCCCCCTGTTCCCACCATTATCCCCACCACTGTCCCCACCACTACCGTCCCCACTACTGTCCCACTCCCCACTGTTCCCACCACTGTTCCCACCACGGTTCCACTCTCCCTACTACTGTCCCACTCCCCACTGTCCCCACTGTCCCACTGACTCCTCCGCTGTCCCACTGAGCTGTCCCACTGTTCCCACCACTGTCCCCACTGTCCCCACCACTGTCCCCACTGTACCTCTGTCCCATTGTCCCACCGCCGTCCTCGCCACCGCCTTTACCACTGTCCCCACCACCATTGTACCCTCCACTATCCCACTGTTTCCACCTCATTCCCACTGTCCCACACCACTGTCCCCACCACCACCGTCCCCACCACTGTCCACTGTCCCCCCTGTTCCCACCATTGTCCCCACCACTGTCCCCACCACTGCCGTCCCCACCACTGTCCCACTGTCCCACTGTCCCCACCACTGTCCCACTGTCCCCACCACTGTCCCGCTGTCACTCGGTTTTCGAGGGGGGGGGGGGGGTTTCGAACCGGTAGTGACCCCCCCCCCTCTTTCATGATGAACTGGGGGGGGGGGGGGGTTCGAACCGTAGCCCCCCCCGGTTTTCGGGGGGGGGGGGGGGGGGAGGGGTTCGAACCGGTAGTGACCCCCCCCGGTTTTCCGCCAGCAGCGGTAGAACACGCTCTTTCATCGGTAGACATCGGCGGGCGAGCCCACGTCAGACTCCCATGTCGAACCGACTCGGAATCCGAAGCCATCGACGTCGAATCGAGCCGAATCGGAGCAATCGGAACGAGCCTTGCCCGCGGGGCGCCGGGAGGACTCCTCGACCGCGGAGCTGGACCCCGGGCTGCGGCGAGGCGCGCGGCCGCGCGCATTCCGCGGCCGGCGCGCCCCCGGTCGCTGTCGGCGCGCGGCTTGCGGGGCTCGCCCGGGCCACCGCCAGTCCGAGGCGGGAGTGCATTCAGGGGCAAGGATAGGGGGGGGATAGGCATAGTAGGGGATACGTTTCGTGGGTTTCCGACGGGCTTCGTGGGTTCGAGGTTCTCGAGCGTTTTCGCAGGTTCTCGGCGGCTTTCCAGCCTCGGGATGCTCTCTTGCGGCTGCGCCTCGCCGGGGGCGTTCCGGGGGTGCCTGAATCGTCCCGAAAGGCCGCGGGAGAGCCGAGCTTGGGTCCGAAAACCACCAGGGGTAACGTTCGACGGGGGATGGGCATAGGGGGGGACGCATCGACCCCCAATCGCCCATGGATCGCCGATAGGTGCCCGATGGCCCCAACCTGCCCAGGACTGTGCGGATTCCTTATCGGGGGCCTAACGCTGATCTAGCGGCGATGTGTCGCCGATGCCAGGTCGATGTGATCGCTCCCATGCCAGCCCCCCCTTCTCGTTGCCCCTCAGGGAGGCCGTGGATGCGGACATGCCTCCCTAGACCCTCGACGCGACTCTCTTTCTCCGCGTGGGCCCCTGGAGGTCTGTGTAACCCTTTCTCTGGATCGTTTCTGATTCTGGGTCGCTTCTCCTGGTGGGGCCCAGCCCAGACCCCCTCGCGTCATGAAAAAGCACAACGGATGGTTTGCGCTATTTCCGGCCTCTGGGGGCCCTTACCAGGCCTCGGGACCGTCCAAAAACGATTCAGGACGAGAAGCCGGTCCCGTGGAAAATCATGACGTCGAGGGTCTGGGAGTGAGGGCCCCAGGAGGCCGAAGATGGCAGCAAGCGCCTGCCGCCGCAGCTCTTCGGAGGTTCGCAGAGGAGTGGGAGACATACCCCAAGGTGGGGCCAGGGAGCGGGCCTCGCTGGATGCTCACATCTCGTTCTTGCAGCACATGGGTTCTGTCTTGGTTCCCATGATTTGTCCATCCAAAGACTACCGCTGAACACGCTGCGCCTCGGGTGCTACTGATGTGCTGGGAGGGCGGGTGGGAGTGAGCGAGACGGCTTGCCGGCGGGGAGGGTGTCTTGACCCCGCCTCCTACCCTTACCCCACCTTTACGCCCCACTGAGCTTTGTCAACGACGCAGAGGGGGGCTTGGGCCTCTGGGCCAAAGTCGACCCCCGGACCCCCTGTGATTTCGCTCGGTGGGGGGCCCCAAACGGTGTGGTGGCCACACCGTGTGGCGAGTCGGTGGGGACTCGGGGTCACCGCTCGGTTTTGGGACCTCAGTCGTTTTCAGAGGATGTCTCGGGCGGCTGGGGCCTTAGAGGTCCCAAAACTGTGTGGTGACGGACCCTGCGGTGAGGTCTTTGCGGATTTCGATGTCACCCCCAGGTCTTTCACCACACGAATTTGGGACCCTCCATCTCGCCTGCTCTCCCCTTTCTTCGACATCGGTAGGAAAGATTGTAGTATAAGCTCCACGTTGTCTGGCCATACCGCTCGGGAAACGATCTGCTACAAGATGTTTGTATTATATGTTCGGGTCGGACGCACGTCTCCGAGGAGGACAAATAGTACTAGTACGTCCATGTGCGTCCCACTAAGGACGAGGTGCCTCAAGCAACGTGAATCCAACCTTGGATGCCTTCCCATCTTTCGGGCCACATCCCTCAGGACCCCACCTTCGAGCCACCGGCAAGGGGCGGCGTCGCTGCCGTCGGGCAACCCTGCTGGTGTGCTTCTCGGGGTTCACGCAACGGGGGGCACAGGAGCCATGTTTCGACCCTGTCGATGGGATGGGTTCTACTTCGAGAATTTCAATTTCGATTCCATTCGACTCCGAATTCCAACCTCGGCTTGGGGCGTCCTTGCGCGTACTACGACATGCTGTCGGGTCACGGTGGCCCGCAGCGCCAGGCGCGCGCGAGCGGGCGAGCGGCCCACTCACGCGCCGTGCAAGAGCAGCTCTCGGCGGAGCTGGGCCACGCCGTGCAAGAACAGCCGGACGACCCTGGCGAAGCCCAAGCCCAAAGATCCTTCTCCCCCTCCCCCTTCCACCTCCCCCCCCTCCCCCTCCACCTCCTTCCCCCCCCCCTCCCCCCCTCCTCGTCCCCCTGCGCAAGACATTGCGCAACAGTGGGTCACCGACGAGCAGCTCTTACTGTTGGAAGAAATCGGTGTAATCGAGCGAGGGCGCGGCCGTTTCTCGCACGAGCAGCAGCTCGCCTTTGTCCAAACGGTTCCAGGTCTTGACAGCCCAACCCGCCCTTCTCGATTTACAAGGCTGGGATAGCGAGACGAGACGGTCGGAGCAGAGAGCACCGCACGATGAGCAGCCGACAAGAATGACATCGGATGTCAAGGAACAGCGAACAAGTTGGTACGGCTTGGAAGCCCTCCTCCCTTCTCCTCCTCCTCCCCCTCCTCCCTCCTTCTCCTCCTCCTCCTCTCCTCCTCCTCCTCCCTTCCCTCCACCCTCTCCTCCTCTCCTCCTCCTCTCCTCCTCCTCCTCTTCCTCCTCCCTCTTCCTCCCCTCCTCCTCCTCCTCCTCCTCCTCCTCCCTCTCCTCCTCCTCCCTCCTCCTCCTCCTGCTCCTCCTCCTCCTCATCCCTCTCGTCCTCTCTCCTCTCCCCTCCTCCTGCCATCCTCCCTCTCCTCCTGGTCTCCCCTCTTCCTCCCTCCTACTCCTCCGTCAGCGGCGCGCGGTCTCCTTCCCCATTCCTCTCCCTGGACAGATTATGTCTTGCCCGAAGTGTCGGATCCAGTCCCTCGGCCTCCCTCTCCTCCCTCTCCTCCTGCTGCCTCCTCCTCCTTCTGCTCCCTCTCCTCCTCCTGCTCTCTCCCGTTTCTCCTCCCCCTCATTCTCTTCCTCCTCCTCCTCCTCCCTCCTCCTCCTCCTCCTCCTCCTCCTCCTCCCTCCTTCTGGCTCCTCCTCCTCCTCCTCTTCCTCCTCCTCCTCCCCCCGGGCCTGTGGCACTCGCGACGAGGCGGGCCTGCCCCGAGGGCCCCGCATGCAACACGCAACCTTAGTGATATGCAATCCCTCGTCATCCCTCCTCCTCCTCCTCCTCCGCCTCCTCCTCCTTCGCATAATCCTCATCCCTCGCCATCCCTCCTCCTCCGTAGCCATTTTGGCTCAAGTTCGACACCTTGCCGCGAGTCTTCGAGCTTGTCCGCAGCTGTGCGGCAGGCTCGAGATGCTTTTCAGGTGTATCGGACGTGAGTTCCTCTCTGTCCAGGGGTACGCGACCCCACTTTCCCAGTTTCTCGCGCGCGCGGCATGGTACCCTGTCGCCCAAGGATCGACCAGCTCGACCCTCCAGCATTGGTTCGCACAGTGCGTACACGACGTGTTCTGGCAAAGCTTCGTATAGCTAGCAGTGCAACCTCGTGGACTGGCGCCGTTACTGTCGCCGTAAGAAGTGGATTTGTGGTAGTGCTGTTCGGGATACTGTTCGTGGGCCGAAGAGCGACGAGCCGACGACGATCGACGGCCTAACACACTGTGGTGCCCTGGGCGATGATTAATGACACATTTGGTTCCAGATCTCGCCGTGGGCAATGATTAATATTACATTTGGTTCCAGGTCTCGTCGTTTGCGCCGTCGTCTTTGCGATATTGAGGTCGTCCGCTCCACATCTCTTCGAGCGGCAGGGGCTATTTTCAGAATGTCCCCCCTGGACTGCGACCGACGGCCCGTCACACAGTAGCGCCCTTTGCGATCATACATGGTATGAGCGGCGTCCGGGGCCCCGCGGCCCGGTGTCGCACACTTTTTCCAAACGCCTCCCCCCCCCGTAATCGCATTCGCCCCCTGGGCTGCGAGGACCTTTTTGGGCATCCAGGGGCCCGTTGTCGGAGTTCCGGAACTTTTTCTGCTTCCCCGAGGCGTCCGTCTAAGCTTCTGGAGACGGCAAGAAGCCGCCAAGACGGCCCAAGAGCTCTCCAAGCCGCCCCAGATGGCCCCATGATCGGCCCGAGAGGCCCCAAGAGGCCCCAAGGTCGCTCCGCGAGGACCTCCAAGAGAGCCCCAAAACGCCAAAATCATTGATGTTCGTGCTGTTTTCCTATATGTTTTGCTTTCTCACGTTTTCGAGCGGCCGACACTCCAAGAAGCCTCCATCGTCGCCCCAAGAGGCTTCAAGACGGCCCAAGAGGGCCGCATGATCGTCCCAAGACGGCCTGAAGAGGGCCTGAAGATGGCTCCAAGATGGGCCAAAGAGAGGGAACGCGAACCGACCTTTCGAGCTTCCCGCCCCCAAAGAGGCCCCAAAGATGCCGAAGAGAGGTCCGACAGGCTCCACAACGCCCCCGTGGAGGCTTCAAGCCTGCTTCCAACAGGCCCCCCGAGAGGCATCCCACGATATCCTCCCAGCGAACATCCGAGAAGCCCCTGACCCACAACCCAGACACGGTGGCGGGATGGGCCCAGAGCTGCGACTTCTGGTTCGCATGGGGGGCAGGGGGCCTTGAGGGCTCCCAGAGTGTTCAGAAGGGGCTCTGGACCCTCCCAGAGGCTCCCAAGGTGGCCCAAGATATTCCCAGGAGGCTCCAGAGAGTCCCCCAAATGCCCGAACAGAGGCGCCCTCTGCCCCAAGAGGCTCCCAGGAGGCCCCAAGAGACTCCCAGGAGGCCTCCGCGACGCCCCAAGCAGTCCCCAAAAGGGCTCCAGAAAGACCCGAGAAGCTCCCGAGAAAGCCCCACCGAGCTCGCAGAAGGCCTCTACGCAGACCCTCAGAAGCCCGCCATAAGCCAGACCAAATGCCCGCCCCGCTTCCGGCTGCGAGCCAGACTGCCGCGCCTGCCGTCGAACTCGCCCCCCTGCAGCGTGGCGCAGTACGAGCCCACCAAAGACTTCCCGGCATTAAATGGGAGGCCCATGACGCCTGCAAGACGCTCCGGAAACGCCTCTCCCGCACACGTGGACCAGGTAACAATGATGTTGATTGTCGGTGGTCCGTCGTCGTCGTCGTCGTCTTCGTCGTCGTCGTCGTCATCGTCGGTCGTCGCTGGTACGCTACAGGCCAAACCCTTCCTTGAACTTCGCAGCATCCGCCCGAACATCACGCATGGGTGAAAGGGAGGAACCCGGAAGACCACATGGAAAAGGTCCCACGGAAATTGACACCGTCGTCGGGGTCGACTAAAACCTAAGCGCGCGCGAAGCGCGTGCGTGTTTCTAGTGAATCATATATTTGGTTCCAGGTCTCGTCGTTGGCGTCGTCGTCTTTGCGATTCTCTGATCGTCCTCTCCAGGGGCTACTTTCAGAATATAGTCCCCCCGGATTACGGCCGACGGCCCGTCACACACTGGCGCCATTTGCGATGATGACTCATATATTCTGTTCCAGGTCTCGTTGTTTGAGTCGTCGTCTTTGCGATTATCTGATCGTCCTCGCCACATCTCTTCGAGCGGCAGGGGCTATTTTCAGAATATTTTCCCCGGCGCGATCTTGATCGCCATTTCTATATTAGTATTTTCCTGCTCCCACTTACGGTCCGCTACAGAGTGACCCAGACATTCGACGGAAAGGTTTTCTCACAACATGGTTCGCCAGAGGTCGGAACCCTTATCCCATGAGCTGGTCTTTCATCCTTAGTTTTTTGATGATGGCCCCAGTCCTGATATGGATTCCCAGAGGCCGAAAAGTGCCGAAAGCCTCCCGTCGTGATTTGGTCGTGGTCCAAGGGTCAAAAGCGGACCCTAAGACCTGTCCAGGGGGCGTTCTGAACAGAGTTCCGAGGTGCATCCAGCGGAGACGACGATAACTCCCCACGAAGCCGAAACGTGCCCAAAAACCTTCTGTCATGTTTTCCCTGGACGACGCGAGGATGTCAGCGGACGACGGCGACCGCCCGCCGCGGCGCGGCGCGCAGGGCTCACGGCGACCAGCATTGTGCAGTCCGACGTCAGCAGCAGCGTGGCCGGCAGCAGCGGCCGCTCTGGCCGCGCCTTCTGCTGCCCAGCCTGGACCCCGCTTGTGCTCATGCCGCCGCCGCCGCTGTCGCTGCCGCCTGCGACGATGACGGCGACGACGACGACGACCACCACCACCACAACCACAACCACCACAATGACTACGACGACGACGGCGATGACGGCCCCCCACTCGGTTCGGCTCAACCAGACGCGCCTCGCCCCGCGTTTTCCCGCCCGCGAGTGCAGGCGGCACCAGGAGAAGGCCCAGACAAGTCGACTGAAAAAGTCTGTACTTGTTTATTCGACATTGGCATTCGAGTGTGCTAGTGCAGTCCCCAGTCGGAACGCTAATCGATGTGCGTCTCGCTGGATACATTAGGTTGTTTTTGGATGTCAAATGGCAAGTCCGTTGGGGTGCACTCGGAGTGCGGTGTCGTGCGCACGTGGATTGCCCCTGGCAGCTTTTACTAAAAGGCGGGTTGGTAAATGGGGCCCATCCTCCGATCTATCTAGAAATATCTGGGCCCCAGGGCCGGGACCTCCCTGTGTACATTCTGCCCCCCCTCCCCCGGACAGGTCTTCTAGCCCCCGAGGCTCAGGGACCGCCCGAAAACGCGCCAACAGCGTCTAGGATGGCTTCCGGACCGCCCAAGAGGCCTCCAGGACGCCCCCCCCGAGAGCCGAAACGGCCCAAGAGGGGTTCAAAAAGCGCCAATAGGCCCCCCAAGAGGGCCCCAGGAGGCCAAACAATTATCCTGGCGAAGGACCCAACCATATGCAGTTGTGAGTATCGCAATTGTGAGTATCTTCTTCGGTGGCGCTCCCTATGGGGCCACGAACCGCATGAGGGGTGTGCCGAAATGTGGCGGGGTACACAACGCAAAGGAATACGATAGATCTGATTACGAGAGAAAGAACGCGGGTGAGTCAGAGCGCGAGGGAATCTGAGTATGAATGGGTCTGCGCGCGAGTGAATATATTTGCATGAATGCGATCATGGAACCGCCTAGTGTAAGTGTCGAGCATGCCTGTCCGAACACACGTGACACTGGGCGTGGCCGCCGCAGGCAGCTTCCGCGGGAACCCCGACGGCAGCGTCCGCACGTCGCGACGCCCATGTCGGCACGCCTCTTGCGAGGATCGCGCCCGCTTTCGGCTCTTCTTTTCCTTCCTCTTTGCCCGCGCACTCCAAAATCCAAGGCTGCGGGCGCAGCGCAGCGCGGAGTCCCCGCGACGCGCGCTGGTCGCCCCGGGCGGGGTCCCAGCGACGCGCGCGGGTCGTCCGCTGCGCGAAGCAGAGAGAGCTGACTAGCTAACTGGCTGGCTGATAGCGGGCAAGTCTCTGACCGCTGGGCAGAGCGACGACGGGCGAACGAGGCGCCGGGCCCCCCGCAGCACGGAGTTCCCGCGACGCGCGCTGGTCGCCCCGAGAGGGTCCCAGCGACGCGCGCGGGTCGTCCGCGGCGCGAGGCCAAACAATTAGTCGGGCAGTCGAGAGAAGGCGCGGCTCGGGGGAGACGCTCCTCAGGTCAGGCCTCGCGGATGAACTCGGTGAAGCCGAGCTCCCTGGCGAGGGCCGTCGCTTCCCTCCTGCACCGCTTCGTGCGCGCCGCAAACTGCTCCAGCTGCTTCCGCAAGCCCTGCGGCGGCCCTGCCAGGAAGAACTCGATGCGCGGCGCCCGCATGAGCAGGAGGTCCTCGTGGCGCGTGGCGCGCGAGAGCAGCACGTAGAGCTCCAGCCACCAGTCGTCGTCCTCCTTCTTGCCGTTCCCTACCTCGTGGCGGCCGCAATCCAGGATCACGCCTGGGCGACGTCGACCGAGGGAGCAGCGCGCCGGGCAGCCGACGGCCCAGGGCGAGAGTCCACAGGACCGAGAGATGGTCTGGCCGCGGACTGCTCGCGCCCCGGAGGTCTGGCCGCCCCCGGAGCGCCGTTCCCCCGCCCCGTCGCCTTCGCGCAAGGTGCGCCCCTGGCACGCCACCGTGGTGATGACCCTGCCGTGCAGAAATGCGCGGGGTGTGCTGAAATGGGTGGGGGTGACGCGTGCGGGCGGCGGCACTGAGGCCTTCGGTGGAGCTCCGTATGGAGCCACGAAACGTGTGAGGGGTGTGCCGAAATGGGTGTGGGGGACGCATGCGGCCGCGGGCACTGGGGCCTTCGGTGGAGCTCCCTATGGAGCCACGAAACGTGTGAGGGGTGTGCCGAAATGGGTGTGGGGGACGCATGCGGCCGCGGGCACTGGGGCCTTCGGTGGAGCTCCCTATGGAGCCACGAAACGTGTGAGGGGTGTGCCGAAATGGGTGTGGGGGACGCATGCGGCCGCGGGCACTGGGGCCTTCGGTGGAGCTCCCTATGGAGCCACGAAACGTGTGAGGGGTGTGCCGAAATGGGTGTGGGGGACGCATGCGGCCGCGGGCACTGGGGCCTTCGGTGGAGCTCCCTATGGAGCCACGAAACGTGTGAGGGGTGTGCCGAAATGGGTGTGGGGGACGCATGCGGCCGCGGGCACTGGGGCCTTCGGTGGAGCTCCCTATGGAGCCACGAAACGTGTGAGGGGTGTGCCGAAATGGGTGTGGGGGACGCATGCGGCCGCGGGCACTGGGGCCTTCGGTGGAGCTCCCTATGGAGCCACGAAACGTGTGAGGGGTGTGCCGAAATGGGTGTGGGGGACGCATGCGGCCGCGGGCACTGGGGCCTTCGGTGGAGCTCCCTATGGAGCCACGAAACGTGTGAGGGGTGTGCCGAAATGGGTGTGGGGGACGCATGCGGCCGCGGGCACTGGGGCCTTCGGTGGAGCTCCCTATGGAGCCACGAAACGTGTGAGGGGTGTGCCGAAATGGGTGTGGGGGACGCATGCGGCCGCGGGCACTGGGGCCTTCGGTGGAGCTCCCTATGGAGCCACGAAACGTGTGAGGGGTGTGCCGAAATGGGTGTGGGGGACGCATGCGGCCGCGGGCACTGGGGCCTTCGGTGGAGCTCCCTATGGAGCCACGAAACGTGTGAGGGGTGTGCCGAAATGGGTGTGGGGGACGCATGCGGCCGCGGGCACTGGGGCCTTCGGTGGAGCTCCCTATGGAGCCACGAAACGTGTGAGGGGTGTGCCGAAATGGGTGTGGGGGACGCATGCGGCCGCGGGCACTGGGGCCTTCGGTGGAGCTCCCTATGGAGCCACGAAACGTGTGAGGGGTGTGCCGAAATGGGTGTGGGGGACGCATGCGGCCGCGGGCACTGGGGCCTTCGGTGGAGCTCCCTATGGAGCCACGAAACGTGTGAGGGGTGTGCCGAAATGGGTGTGGGGGACGCATGCGGCCGCGGGCACTGGGGCCTTCGGTGGAGCTCCCTATGGAGCCACGAAACGTGTGAGGGGTGTGCCGAAATGGGTGTGGGGGACGCATGCGGCCGCGGGCACTGGGGCCTTCGGTGGAGCTCCCTATGGAGCCACGAAACGTGTGAGGGGCGTGCCGAAATGGGTGTTGATGATGATGATGATGGGAGGGGGGGGGGGGGGAGGCAGCGGGAGGAAGGAAGGGAGGAAGGAAGGAGAACGCGGGGCACCGTCTCTTCAAAACGAGGACCCAACACCACAGGATGGTTGGGAAAAAATCGTCCACCCCTTTCGGAAAGCGCATCATTTGTGTCATTTTCGCTTGTTCGGCCTCAACAGGGTCCAAGACTGCCTGTCCAAGAGGCGCCGGAGGGGGTCCCAAAACGGTTCAAGAGGGCCCCGAGACGGTTCAAGAGGGTCCCAAGACGGTCCAGGGAACGCCCAAGGCGGCCCAAGAGAGCCCCCCGAGGGCCCCAAGGGAACCCCCAAAAGGCCCTAAGAGAGGGTCGTGGGGCACTATCTTGGAGCGCGTAGCTCCCCAAATGCCCTCAAGACCCTCCCAGAAACTTCCATGACGACGCCAAGAGTTCCCAACAAGCTCCCGAGAGGCCCCCGAAGAGGCTCCGGGAGGCCCCCTACAGAGGCCCCGGCAGCCCGTGGGGGCCCAGAGAGCTCCAAGACATGCGAAAACGCCACGCCAATTGGCCCAAGGCCGTCCAGCATTGCGTCTGGGGCGCTCTGGCGGCACCCGAGACGTCCCCAGACGGTCTGAAGGCGCGCCAAGAGGGCCCCAAGAGGCCTCCAAGGAGGCCCCCCCCCCGTGCTCCGGGAGGCAGACATCGGTTTCCCCCCTGGCGGAAAACATCTTGTTCCATGACATTCGCTTTCCCAGTTTTTTGACAGTCTCTAAGACGGTCAAGGAGGTGCCCCAGGATGCTCCAAGACAGCGTACGAGGCTCAAACACGGCCCAGGAAGGCCCCAAGACGGTCTAAGGTGGCCCCAAGAGGGTCTGGAGGACTCGGTGCCAAAACGGGTCGTGGGGCACTCTCCTCAGGGGTGTGGCTCCCAATATGCCCCCAACGCCTTCCGGGGAACCTCCAGGACGCGCTAACAAGAGGCCCTCGGAGAGACCCCGAAAACGCCCCCCAGATTCCCCAGTGGATATAGACTCAAGAGGCTCCCTAGATGCTCCCAGGAGGCTTCCAAGACGCTATTTACGAGGCCCCCAGAAGTGTATGAGACGTCTCTCGTCTACATCCTGCACGGCGTTCCCAGGGAGGCTTCAAGAGGCCCCCAATTCACAATCCAAATCAGGGCTTCAAGAGGCCCCTGGGAAACACGCCGCGAAGCCCCGAGAAGCTGCCAAGACGCCCCGACCTTACGATCCAGGTCAGAGGTGCGCCGACATGGGCGGGGCGGCGGGATGCGAACCTTGGCTCTCGGGGTGTCGGTGGAGCTCCTTGTTGGGTACGATATGTGCGAGCAGACAGTCAATATGCACAGGGGGACGTGACGTTATGCGACCCCTCCCGCTAGGACCACGCGTGAAAATACATCCCTCTGGGGCACGATCTGTGTGAAGGTGTGCCGAGATGGGAGGAGGGAAGCCATGCCAATTTTGTCCCTGGACCCGAACGTGGTGTGGAGCTCACGGTGGGGTATCATCCGTGAGGGCAATGCCGAAGTTAGTGTGGGGGACGTTTTGTGAAACCTGCCCGCCTCTT